GAGAAGGTGAGTAGTGCATTTGGGGTCAGACTGAGAGCAGAGGTAGTGATTTCAATTCTCTGAGGGTGATGTATTGTCTCATTTGCCCATAGACTTGGGCTGCCTATGGCATGGAATCCCTGGGTGATGCCCATGGTGAACATGCTCAGACGTTAATTGAAAGATCTGAAGTTCAAGTCCACTCAGAGGCACCTTAAGAAGAAATGCCTTGCAACCAATGTGGTTCTGACAAATCCACCAATGAAAACCTTATAGAGCATAGTTCTACTCTGAGACACACACACACACACACACACACACACACACATGCGCGCGCGCGCGCTCCATGGAAGAATAAACAACACTGTAAGTATAAGCCACTAGGATGGGTTCATGACAAAGACCTTGAGTTTCCGCCCTCCTCTCACTCAGGAGCAGCGGCTACAGCTGAGAGCCCCCTTTCTGGGATGTGTTAATAGTTGCTTTTCAATGCTGTCAGAGTGGCCTTCCATTCGCAGGGGATGAGAAAAGAGCTTTGTGAATTTGGACATCTGAAGACTCCTTCCATATGGCCTCACATGCTGGCAGCCTTCTTCCAAAGTGAAAAGATGGAGAAAGCCCAGATGACTTCATAGGTCTCCGAAACAGATGGCGCGATTCCCGTAAATGCACTTGACATCAATGTCCCGGGCTGCGATGATTCCCTCACTGGGCTCAGCTGAAGAGCGACTAACTGGCGATGCTGAGAATGTAGAGCGTGACCTCAGATTAAGAGAGAAGGTGGGCGTGGACACTTCATGGAGAAACTGTGACCTATGGCTCAAGGGTCCACATTCTACTCAGAGATTTGCAACCTTGTAGGGGACGCTGGAAACCTTGCAAGAGCCCTTCAAAACCACAACCCAAAGCCAAACAAACAACAACAGTGGAACTCACATCTGCTGCCCTAACAGACTCATAGTGACCCTATGGGGACAGAGCAGCTCCGGACCTTGGGCCTTTGAAGCGGTATATCTTTATGGGAGCAGTAGCCTCATCTTTCTCCCATGGACCAACTGCTGACCTTGTGGTTAGCACCCCAATGCTTCCCCCACTGAGCCACCAGCGACCTTCAAAAATACCCTAATTTTTAAGTGCTGGTCACCCATCTTTTAAAACATGATCAGAAATCCTTCCTCGGAGTAGTTGTGGGTGGTCATTAATGGTTAATAACAGTAAAGAAATTGCCATCAGTCAACATGTCCTATTGTCCAGCATGCCTACACGGAGATGCTACCAAATGCAAATCCTACTTTCTAAGGACGTCTGCCAGTTACTATCGCCCTCAGGTCCCCATTTACTCTCTCCACAACTGCCCAGCAAACCCTCCGAGACGATGAGAGTGTTCTGCTTGTGCTTGTCCAGTGGCAACTGGACATGTGGCTAATGAGCACGGAAATGAGGTCCTGAATTTTAACGTTTCATTTCAGGTTAGTTGCACGTACGCTAACTGTAAGTAGCTGAGTGACTGCCAATTGGACAGAGCAGCTCTATTCAATTCAAAGCTCCTACAGGAACTTCCTGGAGATGAGGTCCAGAGGGAAACAGAAAGTCAATTAATTAATCAGTCTTTACGATTGAAGCCATTTTTTCTTCTTTTCTTTTTGGTTATTGTTGTTGGGTTTTTTTAATTGGTGGGAAGGGTAACTACAACCAGAGAATGAAGCAAGAGGCTATCAAAGGGGGAGGGCGGGCAGACACATATTCCTATATGATTGCCATTCCTTTATACAGGCACCGAAGTGAGAAGACATCCAAGCTTCTCAACAAACGTAAACCTTCTACACAAACTGGAGAAAACCACCAGACTGGTAAGATTCAAGAGAAAATTAGGCTCAGGTCTGTCAACCCCCAGATTGCCTCTTCACAGAAGCCCAGGCACAGAAACTGTCATGGAACTGCCAGGCCTGCCCCTGGGCTCTGCCTCTGGCTCTCTGCGCCCTCCGTCCCCGCACAGACGCATCACGGATAACGGAAGAGCGAGCAGGGAGTTGTAGGGCAGAAACCAAGGTGCTGCCTGTCTTCCAGAGAGAGAACGGTGGCTTTTGCCCTTTGATGTTCCTCTGCAACAGGAAACACATCATGCCCCAAACCCGGGGACATTCGCAGGGGATGAGAAAAGAGCTTTGTGAATTTGGACATCTGAAGACTCCTTCCATATGGCCTCACATGCTGGCAGCCTTCTTCCACCTTGCTGCCTCCCCTCAACCTTGCCACGGCTGAAGATGGATTTCAAAATGCATGTTTTTTCTCTCCCTGATCTGGGTCCTTGTCCTGGAAGTGGACTTAAAACTCTCACGTGCTATTCTAAGTCTTCTCACGTGAGAGCTTATTCTTCCTGCATGCCTTCATTTGCTCTTACCCTGTCTGCAGAACATTCGCGCTGGAGAGGGCAGTTCTTGGGCAACCTAGGCTCTAAGGCAGTGGTTCTCAACTTTCCTCCTGCCGCGACCCTTTCATGCAGTTCCTCATGTGGTGGTGACCCCCAACCATAACATTATTCTCGTTGCTACTTCATGACTGTCATTTTGCTACTGTTATGAATCGTCATGTCAATATCTGATATGTAGAATGTATTTTCATTGTTACAAAGTGAACATCATTAAAACAGTGATTAATCACAAAAACAATAAGTAATTTATTTCTACTTATTTATTTCTACTTACAAATAAATAAAATTTTGTCTTGAAGCATGGGTAACAGTCTTAATATAATATGTGTTAATATGTGTTTTCCGATGGTCTTAGGCGACCCATGAAAGGGTTGTTCGACCCCCAAAGGGGTCGCGACCCACAGGTTGAGAACCGCTGCTGTAATGGGACCGGGGGTGGTCACTGTAATTCTACTACCAAATGGTGTCAGATGCAGTTCAGCATCTTGATAGCAGACAAGAGCCTATTAGGCTCAATGGGATTTTTAACCACTTTTGGATTTTAAGGTACCTTTTAGAATAAAAGCTATTCCAGAAAACCATGTCCTTTGACCTCAAAGGATCCGTTGAAGGCTACGAATTAGCGTCTGCTGTGTGTGGGAAGGACTTCACAGTGGAGCATGGGTTTTTGAGTCCTTCAAAATTGGGAAAACAGCCCTGAACTCAGCTTGCACTTGATTGGTGTGGGAGGACGAAAGCCAGCATCAGCAATAGGCTTTGGGTCCCAGGTGTCTCACAGGAAGAGCCTAAAAATTATTATTCTTAAAATATTCACACTGCCCTGCTAATGACCAAGAAATTCAGATGACCACCCAAACTGGGGGAGGAAGCCTGCAGCTCAGGGGAAAGCAAAGTGTTTGGTGACCACGGTCATCCTCAGCCTTGTTCCCACTTGGCTCCACTGTAGGCTAGTTTATCTCCTTGGTTAGGAGTTTCCAAAGGAGATTAGTTTGGAACAGAAAGCCTTTCATTCTGCTCCCAAGATCCCCCTAGCATTAAACTGTCAACTACATGAATAGCAATTTAATGATATTGGAATGCTAAACTAGTCATAATAAAAATGCCCACCACCAAGTTAAACAGTCTACAAGAAACAGCACTTTACAACAGCGATTCTCCAAGTGTGGTCTTCAGCTCAGTAGCATCAGCCTGACCTGAAGCTGGTAGAAACGCAAATTTTGGGGTCTTCCTCTAGCCCACTACCATCCAGTCAATTGCAACTCACAGCGATCTCCTACAGGGTCTTCCGAGGACATGCAATCTGTATGGGAGCAGGCAGCCTCATCTTTCTCTGGCAGAGCGCCTGGTGGGTTTGAGGGCTGCCGCCCAACACCTAACCCTCAGCACCACCAGGACCCCCTTTGGGCCTTCCTCTAGACCACAAAATGTGCACCTCTGGGAGAGAGGCCCAGCATTATAAAGCAGGCCCCACGTACTTCTGAGGCACTGAAGTTTGAGAACGATGCCTTCGAACCAACAAACAAGCAGGTGAAACTATTCTCCGCAAAGAGAACTGAATGAGTCCAGTCTGACTCGGTTCTAGATATAAGATCTAACCAAGCACTGAGGACGTCCAGTCAGATATCCCTGGTTCTGAGTTCTAAGCAATCTTCCTCTTGTTCCACCTGAGATTGGATCAAGCCACCCCCTGCACCCTGGGAGGCTCCTGGGGATGAGCTGGGCTGGGAGTTCTGAGCTACACGCATGCATCTGCTCCTCAGTGGGAGATGGAGGGTGCAGAGGGCCAAGGGGATTGCTAGTATGCTGGGCATTCCTCTCGAGCTTATCGATCCCTTCCTTGGTGAGGAACAGAGAGTTCTTACTCTTCGATCACCATCTCGCAACCACGGATCTCAACAAAGACAGCACATATGAAATAAAACGAATAGAAAATGGCATCCTGAATGGTGAGTCCCAGGGATGACGAAACGCAGTGTGTGACGCCCCCACCAACAATGCCTACGTCCCGATGCCTAATTCTCAGATCCTTCCTCTGGATTACAATGCTGAGGAAGCAGTATCTTCTCCTCACCCACACTCTGGCCAACTCAAAGCCGGTCCTATTCTCCCTCAGCCACCTTCCAGACCAGACTGTAAGGAGAATTAGAAAGACGTTATTTGCCCAAACGATTGGGTGGTTCTGAGGTTTCTGGCTGACAACAATGTTTGCTCAGTGAGGGAGTCTTCATGCGCCCTAAGGACACATGGGCAGAAACGTGTCAAAGCTTCAGACGCACCACATCCTCTTAGGGAGTGTGTCGTCAAGAGAATCCTCCAGCCAAAGAGAGATGGAAATGCAAACTCTCCCTGCACTAACTTTTCTCACTTTAAATGGTACCTCTCATCACGACCTAGTCCACCCACGTAGTCACGTGCCACAGGCACTGCAGACTGTCTCTGACGTCTCAAAGACTCAGACGCTATTTTTAAAGCCCCAATACATTCTAGGTTGCTATTTGGTAAAGCACTTTTTAAGGAAGAACAGCATAATCTGCAGCCTCCCCGCCCTCCCCTTAATAAAATGCATATAAGCAGTAGCTAGCCAACTCACCGAAAGATTGAATGCAGCTGTCAATGAGATCGTCCAGGCTGGCTCCTTTGGTTAAATGTCCCAGAGACACCATCATTCGGAGCTGGGTGACCTGAGCCAGGCTGGGATGGGAGGGGATGGGGCTGCTGGGTGGCTTTGCCTCTAGTCTCGCTTTGGGAGCAGATCTGCCACCATGGGCAGGCTTCCTGGGGAAAGAAAGAAGGCAGGCGAGTGAGCAGAGCACAGCAGCCAGCCCCGGGGAGCTTTCTCTGCAGACTGGAGAGGAAAGGAGTAGAGATAAAACAATTAATCCCTGGAGTCAGGCTGATAGAAGACACAACCCTCCCACTTGGCAAATGCACCAAACGGACCGGTTGGCTGTGAATGACACATCTCCCCAGTACATAATGAGGTGCGATTTCAGGGTTTCAACTGGGGCTCTTCTTCCTGGGGTTAGGCTGTCCTGCTGTGTCCTAGTTCCTGAAAGGGCGAAGAGGCAAGCCTGGCTCTTGGCAAGCCCTTAGCTCCTAGCAATATTTTAAAAAAACCAAAAAACTTCAGCTCCTGGGCCACATTGACTAGGGTTTTAAAGGACTGTGTAAGTTGATTGTGTCTTGAGCAAACACTGTTTGTCTTGGGCAGTACCAGGATGCTGAAGAAGGTCGAGAAGCCTCCTGTTAAAGGACATCAGAGGAGAAGCTAAAGCCAGAGGAGCTATGTGCAAGAGCTGACAGATTACTGGGGTGGGAGTGAGATTTCGAGTCAGGCCTGACTCTCACACAGCTCTCACTTGGTTTCAGAGCTCAATTTCCACCATGGATAACAAAAGCACTCAGTCGGGGCCATTCTATCAAGTCCTCATTGGGGTCCTCCCCAAGTGAAAAAGAAAGCAGACTGTAGGAGAACTCGGTCCCAGATCTTAGCGTGAATGGCACGACTGGTCTGGAAATGCCTTCACAGCCCCACGGGTCACCTCTGTCCACGCACAGCTGGTTGTGACCTCACCAGCGCACAGCAAATTGTTTGGAAAGCGATAGGCTGAACATGAGGTATTCTATTTTCCCCTCCCTCAAGATAACAGACACATGCACACACATATATACTCATATCCATAAAACTTGAAGGTTTCCTTGCCCTACATAGTCTTGCTTCGTTGAGCATATTGCTAGTTTTCCACTGTGACGTTGGGCCTTTCACTATTTGCTAACGAAAGGGAGACATGCAAACAGAAGTATAGTACAGAGTCTGCACTTCAGCTACTGGCTGAAGATGATGATGATAAACACTCGATGGCATCAATTCCTACTTCGGGATCAATCAGGAAGCGCAGGTCTCCGAGAAAGACATGTTGGTAGGGCAGGCTCAAGCATAATGATGAGATGTACTCTGGAAAACACACCATGCATTCTTTATGTGTTGGATTTGGGTACTGCTGATCTAGAAAGGAACCCTAGAGGTTCCTCAACGAAGAAACGAAATCTACTGGTGAGTCAGACCTAAGCCAGCGCTGCTCTCTCGGGGTCCCAGGCAGATCAAGATGTGTGATAGGCCTCAATCAAGTTGTTGGCCATTATTGATTTCCACCCAGGTCCTGTGCTAGCCCCAAGCCCAGATGAATATGTAAAACCAAGAGAAAATAATAAGAGACCGAGAATTGAGTGAGTACAACATGGCGGCCACTTTATTGGGACTTTGCATGATCTATAAAGCTCACAGGCCAGAGCGTTGGTGTCTCCCTTTTATGATGATGAAATGGATCCCAAAGAGATGAAACGAGGTAACAGAGGCTGCACAACTCGTCTACGGCCGCAGGGGGATTTGTTCTTGGTGCCTTTCTGATCTGAATACTTGTCTTTGCTGGGCCTAACTGGGCACTGTTCACTACATCTCGCTTAGCAAGCAGATCCAAATAACCAGGCTAGGGGGGCGGGGTGGGGTGGGGTGGGGGAATCAACTGTAATTTTTAAATAAGCAAAGTTTCCCCAAATCACAACCGATCATTTTCAAGCTGAATCTCAAACCCCGTCCTCTGCAGGTTGCCGGTACCATTCTGAGAAAGAGTGGGACTGTCTTTTCCTAGTCCTTTTCCAAACCCTCATCTACAGGTGTGGAGGTGCAGGTCCAACGCCAGGCCTTCTGTGCCCTGGGCCACTCTCCCGCCCCTTCCCAGAAGCGCTGATAGTTCTGCAAATGTGGGGCTGGCAGTCTTGTGTCAGGATTAATCAGCTTGCTGCCTTATCCACTGTCTTTCCACCGGTAAGACCGCCACCAAAGGCAGAGTACAGGGAGAGAGGGAAAATAGACACTTCTCCGTAGAAGCCTCTTTCTCTCCGGCCTTCCACACCACCTCTCCTTGGCCCCTACAGAAAAGGCAGCCACAACCGGAGGCTGTGTCTCGGGACAGGGCTTTTCCTCCTGGGGCCTGGGAGGGGGCTGCCTCGCTGTCTTGACCTGAAAGAGTGAAGGAAAATTCCATTTGCTCTCGTGGTTGGTGGCATCAATCACTCGGGCGTCCTGACAGTCACTGGCCTCTACTTCTGGCCATGTTTCCTAGTGTCACCGGTAGGGGAAACCACTTCAGTTTCTGGGGGTGATTCTCAGAGGCAGACATTTTTACCAGAACTAGGAGGCGTTGGGGTAGGTTCAGGTGGAAACAGAGAAACAGAAAAGTGTATTTGGGGTGAGGGGAACAAGAGGGAAAGGACAGGTGCAGGCTGGATCTCTAGACCCAGGGAGGCTCAGATGGTTGGGCAAGAGAAATTAGGGAAAAGAGAAATGATGGAAGAGCAAACTGTAGCCTAACCAGCCTTGGAAGATGGGGAGCTATTTGCACCACAAATTGGAGAACCACCCTATTGTTAGGCAGGATCTTGATTGGCCGCCTTTTGAAAAACCTCCAAATTAGTCAGTCTCTTCTGGTGAAATGGATTAGACAAGAGTTTAGATAATGCTTTATTCCAGGCAGGCATAAGGGTGTTTTAAGGGTCAATTCATAAAGGAACGGCTTCTAAGTCTGTGAAGGTGTATTTTTAAAGATAGCAGCCAAATATTTTCGGGCTAGCTCCTGGGTACACTTTTAAAAGAAAGGAAAAGAGCCAGAGAAGTGAAAGTAAGTTTTGATTGTAAAAGTGGCCAAGGCCCTATAAGGTTTGCTGAACAAACGAACAAATGCCCTGGAAGCCGTCCTGACTCATAGCAACCCTGCCCTTAGGGGTTTCTGAGACTGTAACCTTCTACTGGAGTCAAAGCCTCCTCACCTTTCTCCTGCAGGGCAGCTGGTGGTCTCAAACTGCTGACCTTATGGTTAGCAGCCCAATGCATAACTCACTACACTACCAGGGCTCCTGGTTTGCTGAAGGAGGTTGCCAAATCTCTAAACTGGTTAAGGTGAAGTTACTCTCCAGGCACAGGGTCATCCGAAGAGTCACAATTTCAGCCTCAAAAAAATTTTTTTTCTTTTTTATTTATATTTATAAAATGAAAGCCAGCCCGAAAGAGTCAGGGATGAAATGGAAGAAGAGAACTAATCATTTCTACTACGTTCTTTGCAGTCCAAGGTGCCCTTTGTTGACTCCTAGTGCCAACTTCTCCTGGTCCTCCCCTCTCTTTTCAAAATAGAAACTCAATTTAATTTACTGAACTGAGCCCCCACCCCCACCCCCGACTAAGGAGTGAAAGGTACAGTGATAGGCAGGCCCTCGGGAGATAAGTGAAGATGATGGCAGTTGGGGGGGCAGGGAGGAGACGTGCACAAAAGGTCAAGAGCCCTTAAGACCAGAGAATGTATGTAAATCCAGCAGAGAATTGCTTCCTGCCTTTACTGGGTATGGGTGTGCCGGTTCGGCACTGCACATTCCGGTATCTGTGAAATGCACTACTTGTCCCACCCTGTGCGGAAGGCAGGCAGTTCTCCAGGAAATTGCCCTGTTCTCGAGCCTTGGGGGTGGGGGTGGGGGGCAATCTCAAGTTGCTGGCCCCTCATGCCTTTCTCCTCCCAAGAGCCCTTTCAGTTACTGTCACATTCCTTCATCTTCTGTCACTCCAAGAGCCTCCTACAGTTTCTTGCTAGAAATGTTAAGGGGGGTAAGGTTTGGAGATTGCCACCCGGAAGGTTCTAGGGGGGTTCCCTGACCCAGGGGACCTGGAAACTTCACTGGAGCAGATGCAGCCAAGTGGTACCCCAGTGGGGCTTGCAGCCCAAAACAGTACACGCTCGTGGCCGCGTGCGGCCGCCAGATGGCACTGCCGATGGCCCGTGCTGGCAGCAGGTGCGGGTGGCGTGGACAGTCCGCGCGTGGGAGCCCCGGTGCCCAGCAGTGAGGCCCCGAGGGAGGAGGTAGGCGGGCGTCCGCGGGCGTGGGTTAGGGCAGTGAAAGGCTTTTGGGACTCGCAATTAGGAATTGACCCTGGCAAACGCTGGCTCCGCAGCGCCATCGCCGCAAACCCCAGCTCCCTCGCCCACCAGGCGGGCACGGGGTCCTCCGGGCCTGCCAGTGCCTCTTGCCCGTCCCCCGAGGACTCCAACCGGAGACCTTGACCTCCCGCCGCCCCCCATGCCGGGCCAGCAACTTCCTGTCGGAAGAGGCGCCCTGGCTGCTCGGCACGTCCCGCCACCCATCAGCAAAAGGACCTCAGGGCGCTACCCGCGCAGAGGCCCCCTCCCCAAGATAGCCAGCCGGTGCGCCCGGGCACCTGGGCACCGGCTCGGCCGCCGTCGCCCCTACTCACCGCGGAGCTTCTCTGACCTTGCCCAGGGTGCCCATGACCGCGGCCTGGGCTCCGGAGCCGGCTCACCTAGCGCGACGGCACGGGCTCAGCGGGGCGCGGCGCA